GTCACAACGCGGCAGTGCAAGTGCAATGGTAGCGCAGCCCACGCGACCTCGTTGCCGAGTGTGCTACGAGTGCATGTCTTCCTACCACATACTTCGTACATAAATTCCATTTCCTACAGAATTTACTTGGGCCAGGTTCGGAACGCGTTCTCAAAACTTTTGAGGAGCCGAGCCACAAAACCATAACCCCAGCGTAGCACAAGAACGCGTTCCGCTACCTGGACCAGGGCCTTATCGCGGCATGACAAAGCGAATGTTGGGGGATCAGATGATATTCAGAAGTATACTCAGCTCAAGTTAAATGCCATTTTTATCGTGACAAATTGCGATTTTTAATAAGTTCACTTTTTAAACAGTCATTGCGCATTGATGGACAATGAAAGACACACGCTGTCACGGCAAACCAGTAGAGAAAGGACTGAAGTTTGTAATTATAGCTTTGGATACCCAAACGTACAAGGATTAACCTCTGAACGGAGGGCTAAACGTTTGATCCTTTTATTTGTCCTACCGTCCGCTCCGCTGGGGTTAAGCGAGAAACCGCTGAAGTTAACGTTTTACTTTATCAGGGGATACTTGAACGAGGTTTTTCTCTCGCGGCGCTCATGGAGACGTTACACGGAACAGATACTTTTTGTTTAGATTTTCCTTCTTCCAAGTCCAAGATATGTCCCAGCTTCTAAAGTTGCTCTAAGAACCTTTTAACCGACGGAAGTGATCGCTGTGGACACCGCCGTCATCGACTTGGTGCACGAAGTAGCCGTGTATTACTTACTGTACATACGCTTGTAGCACACAAAACAAAAACCTTGCCTAACAGTAAAAGTTAACTTGAGCGCATGGGTTTACACAAACGGAGTAGGATACAAACTTCGATAGTGAAATAAATCGAAGTTGAATTGTTGATCCGACTACAGAAATACACTTATCAGATCCCGCCATCGTAGCGTACACAAGTACAAGCAAATCGATTCCGAGGAAACAAGCTTTTTTCATTCAGGTTGTTTTTATCCTAATCTTAAAAGTTTAGGCGACATCCCATAATCATCTCGACTTCATCGTCATCTTACTTGGTACCGTCACCTGGGAATACAAAACGACCCCCCCCCCCCCCCCCCGTAACCAACTCAAGCGCCGTCCGCATCGCTTTTTCATTTCCAGTCCACGTTTTGCTGTATTTTCCCAACCGTACCTTCGCCTCCCCCAACATCACTCTCGCTTTAGTCCGCGATCTCCACTAAACTGCACGTAACCATGCGTCTGCAATTTGTTGTCCTGCTAGTCGCTTCCGTCGTAATCGCAACTACCGATGCGACTTCCGGTTCTTCATTCGCTACTATTCGAGACGATACTCCTGCTGAACGCTCTTTGAGAATCAGCGGCATCAGTGCTAGCGACGAAGAGAGAGGAGGCCCCGTTGCTCTCGAGAAGGTCAAGACCCAACTGCCGACATCGACCATCACCGAGAAGACACTCGCGCGCTGGGCTCAGAACGCGTTCTCAAAACTTTTGAGGAGCCGAGCCACAAAACCATAACCCCAGCGTAGCACAAGAACGCGTTCCGCTACCTGGACCAGGGCCTTATCGCGGCATGACAAAGCGAATGTTGGGGGATCAGATGATATTCAGAAGTATACTCAGCTCAAGTTAAATGCCATTTTTATCGTGACAAATTGCGATTTTTAATAAGTTCACTTTTTAAACAGTCATTGCGCATTGATGGACAATGAAAGACACACGCTGTCACGGCAAACCAGTAGAGAAAGGACTGAAGTTTGTAATTATAGCTTTGGATACCCAAACGTACAAGGATTAACCTCTGAACGGAGGGCTAAACGTTTGATCCTTTTATTTGTCCTACCGTCCGCTCCGCTGGGGTTAAGCGAGAAACCGCTGAAGTTAACGTTTTACTTTATCAGGGGATACTTGAACGAGGTTTTTCTCTCGCGGCGCTCATGGAGACGTTACACGGAACAGATACTTTTTGTTTAGATTTTCCTTCTTCCAAGTCCAAGATATGTCCCAGCTTCTAAAGTTGCTCTAAGAACCTTTTAACCGACGGAAGTGATCGCTGTGGACACCGCCGTCATCGACTTGGTGCACGAAGTAGCCGTGTATTACTTACTGTACATACGCTTGTAGCACACAAAACAAAAACCTTGCCTAACAGTAAAAGTTAACTTGAGC